AAGTCAGGATGGATATATCACTGGAGAGCGTAAAGAGCGATTATTCATTGTGGTTTGTCTCGTCCCGCCGACACCAGCGCGCATTCAATTCTCTAACGAGATCAAAGATCACATACTACGGGTTTGTATATGAATAATGCTTGGTCTACTGACATTTTGAAATGGATGCGTCCTGGCGAGTGCATGTCAGGCCATCCTGACAGTAATGGCTTCCATTCCACTCGATGCCACCGCACTGCGCGCCTTCTGAGCCACCAGAAGCAGGTTCAAGCGCCAAAATCCTCTCCGTTGCCTTCTCAGAAATAGATACAATGTAGGACTGGATATTGGGTGTAACCATGCCTGGAATGACGGAAGCATCGACGACAAAGATGTTGTCGGATCCCCAAACTTTGGTATTGAGGTCAACCACCGCGTCGCCACCTTGACGCCCATCTTCAGTTCCAAGTTTGTTGGTTCCAATCCAGTGATTGGCACCACGCCCGGATGTAGTTGACATCTAATTAAAAGTTAGTCGGGTAAAAAGCCCATAAGATGGGGCGAGACGAAGAAGCATGAGCCAGCACTTACAGCATTGACATATTCCCGGGAGGTTTGGTTGGCAGCAGGTGCTAGCCATGTCAAGCCTTCGACACCTGAGAGCGCTTCACGCATGTTATCAAGGCCAGTGATGATCGCTTCGATATCCTCTGGGTCATGGAGGTATGGAGGCTCATTGACGACCGTGCTGAGGTCGGAAGCAAGTGTCATTCTCCCTCGTGACTTGGACCCACGACCAAGATACTGGCTCATAGTGATAGCATCTGTCCGTTCGTTAGTCAGGTTATCTTTCTTGTATTTTGTAAGGCCTCGGTCCACATACATTCATCCACAAGGTTAAAACTTGCTTCGACACGCGAGGTCCACTGCAGTGAACGAACGATGCCATCTGCTCCCGCAATTTCGTCGTACATCACGGGGCCGATATTGGGGGCAGCCTGCGCCAAAATACCGGAACGGGAATCTACATAGAATTAGCCATTGAATGCAATAAATAATTGACTGCAAAGAATTCTTACTGAGGTAGGCTTGCGCATCACTCTCGATAGGGTCTGTATAAGCGGCGTAAAAGTCATAGAATTTAACGCTTGGGTGGCTGACAACAGTGTCCGTCTACATCCCATTAGCATCTTCAAATCGTTTGACTAAATGGCAACTTACGTTGGTGTGGTCTTCAAGGTTGTGGCCAACGGGAAGCAAAATCCACTGATCATCAGAGATGAAATCCGGACCGTCGGTGGTCGAGTTTGCGACAACCTCCAGCTGGTCCTGAGGGCCAATACCGCCTGTAACGATCAGCCAAATTGCTCTCTTAAAGAAAATCAACCGGCATATTTAAACTTACTTCTCATGAGAAGCCTGGCGCTACCAAAGGCGCCTGCTGAGACAATAACGCGACCAGTCCCAGGAGTTAACTGGACTGTGCCCTCATAGCCGTTGCCCTCGTAAGGCTCGACCTCAAGGCCTGTGGCATGTCCACCCGAGCGTACAATCCTCTTCACCTGCGTGGCGGTCCAAAGGTCGAAGTTGTCGCGCTCGGCGGCGCTGGCTAGATATGTCGCCAAAGCGCCACCTCGCTGGCCATTAATAAACATGAAGGCAGCGTCAGTGTATGTTTTGTTTTTCTTCTCTGGCTCGGTAAATGGGTTGAACTCGGACCAGCCCGAGGATTTGACACCCTCAGAAAGAACCTTGTATCCCTCATCGTAATAGCGAATGCCATCCTGTGATGATCTCCTTGTGCCGGGGATCTTTGTGAAGGCACGCTCAACAGCTCCAGACATGTCAGATGATTTCCAGCCGTCGGGGAAATTGTAGTCCCAATCCTCAGCAGAAGGTTTCCACCACAATCCGGCATTCACTGCAGTGCCACCGCCGAGGAGGCAGCCGGCCATCTGGTCGGTGTCGCGGCAGGCAATACCATCAGAGTCCACCCAGATCTGGTTGCAGAGGCCTGGAACATCAAACCGGGTCAGATCTGTGCCCGCGAGCCAGTCAGGCTTCCAAGCAGACTTGGCTGGGCCACCCCATTGACCTGTTGACGCAGGTCCCTTCTCGATGAGAAGGACCTTCTTTCCAGCCTCGCTAAGTCTATCAGCAGCAGGAAGCCCACCAGCACCACTTCCAATCACGACGTAGTCATATACGGCATCAGTAGGAACGGGAGTGCCAGTGGGGCCTGGGATGGAAGTTGTGGTAGATGGAGTGTCATCGCAGTGACCAGGAACAACCTTGTCGGCGAGAGAGGTCCACTCCTGGTACTTCTCGCTGACAGCGTTCGAGGAAAATGTGCCAGTAATGGTGCCGGCACCGTTATGCTGCCCTGCCGAGATGCTGGTAGGGCACCTCGCACCCGTTGGCGTCACACTGTGGATGGCCCAACCTACTAGAAAGGTGCTGGCTGTTGTTGAGAGACTACCTTGGCTGCCATTATGATTCCACTTCAAGCAGTTCTGGCATCGGTACAGAATCTCGAAGTAACCATCTTCTATCTTGGACGATATTTGCGTCAATTGCGCATCGCCGGCATAGAACCCAGGAGGCCTGTACCCGGTCGCCCACTGGAAAACAGTGAGTACCTCATCCTCGTATGGGTAAGTGGTGAGAAGTAACTTGTTGGTCATAGAGCCTCCCAGAGAGAGAGCACAGTACCCAGTCCCCTTTGTTGCTGTATCACATCTCTACGGGCATTAAATGTCAGCTCTTCCTGGTGATCTTCCAACAGAGGGAAAGATTTGAGCATGGCACGAACCAGATAGCCAATATATTCGCTTGCATCAGTCTGAAGGGCATCTGTGGGCAGAGCGAATCCAAATGTCAACCCGCTCTCTGTCCAGGTATCGAATACAATACCCGTGTCCGAGTCTGTATACGTCGAAGGTGCCCTTTGACCCAGGACATTTTGCGAGACTGTGTCCAGTTAGCAAGGCAAAGAATTCTTGGAGCTGAGGAGTCACTCACAAGAAGCCAAGGCCAGCAGAAGCGAGGAAATTCCTAGAGGCCGCATTGTGAATGATGCTCTCAAAAAGGCTCAAGACACCATATACTAGACAGTTCCGAGGCGATATTGAATGAGACCGGCACTTATATATAAGATTTCAAAGCTGCCAAGATCCCTCCGGGACTGGAATGACTCAGTTGTCAACGGAAACGTCGGGATAGTGCTCCAACACATTGATCCGAAGACACCGTTCAAACTTGCAGTGCTCCCACAGGGATATCGGCCCATGTAAATACAAGGCAGTCCTTCATTTTACGATGTCGTGTGTACAAGATCCAGCAATAAGCCAACTCCATTGGTAGAAGCCAATACGAACGGGGGCAGTCGGTTGTGAGACACTGGGCGGGCCTTGCTTCCTGTGAGCAACGAATGGGATAGGTTCCGGATTACGGTGAAATCCCGTCCTCTCATCATCATCCACCTTGATACAATCGACCCATTGCTCCCCAGGCGGCGGTGAAGGTTCCGAGAGTTGGAAGTCATCCTGTATTGCACCCAGGCCCTGACTCACTCAGTTATCTCGTGGGGGTCTCTGGAGAGAAGTTGGGGAAATTCCTGATTTGGCACCGGAGGCGCGTCCCCGCAGGAGGATGAAGCAGGGCTCTGACCAAGCGCGGGCCTGCGCTCCGGAATTCCTCTGGCAAGGCACGGATCTCCTCCACTAACGCCATTGGAATTTGTAAAACATCGGCTGGCTCGCAATTAACCGCGACTGAAGACCTTTGGTGTGCTTGTAGGGTGCCTGGATGTCAGGGGGCTAAATGAAATAAGCCCTGGGAGTTGGCACGGGAGTTGACGGGCATGGCAGGGGTTAACAAGGAAATGCAACGTCGAACTCCTGTTCAAATATTGGCCGTCTGACTGGCCAATGTTCTCCGGTGGCTCGAGAAAGGGACTATTGGTAACTTCCCTATCAGCAATCTGGCGTGATTCGGTGCAAGCCCAAGAGCGAGGTGCCTGGTGAGCTTGACGTGGATGTGCTTGACCATGGCCTTGGGACACTGTGGGAGGACGAAGACGTCATATGTCATCTCGGCCTGCATTGTGACGGGTTCCAGGGTCCTGCGGGCGCCGAGGGTACAGAGACGATTGCACCGCCGTATTCGATCGCATTGAAACTCGCTCACTCGCAAGCGCGTCTGCTGATGCAGATCTGAGAATGACAGATTGCAGACTCGGTCGGTCTGGTCCCTCTCAACTAGGCCAGCGCCGAACTTGAGCAGGGCCCATCCTCGCATGCCGCCATTCAGCGCACCTGCAATGGAAAAAGCTGCAATAAAGAGGCGGGGATTGGTGCTGCATCTCGGAATGGCGGGAGAAAGGGCTCAGGCTGACTGAATGGACAGCAGACGGTGGGGGAAGGCCATCAGCATCAGAGTGAGATACTTCAATGAGCAGGGGCGAAACGACGAGGGACCTGGTTTGCTGCTCCAATGTGCCTTCATCACTGTGCCTGCTGACGGAACTCTTAGAGATGGATTTCAGATCAAGTTCCAGGTTCGCGGCTTTGGCGCCTCTTCAGCCTTGCAACTCGCGCCTACCCTAAATGATTCGCACAGTGCAATTGGTGACTCTATTGACACTGTATAGTTGCATCTGTTTCGCAGCCATTCATACTGTGCTCACGTTGCATTCACACTGGCTGTTGCCTCGCCCGGTCCTCGTCTTTCTCCTCCAGCAAATGTCCCACGCTCTGATCCTGGAAACTCCGTCTCTCCTCCCAAGTGCCTGTCGATCACCCCTTGCAATTGGACCCCTCGAATCCACAGCCCTGGATTACGATGCCGTGATACAGAGGGGATTCGGACACTTCACAGTAGGTCCCCTCCTGCGGGCCACTGTCTCTCTGCTTCCTGCCTGCCTGATACCCCACCTCACGCTCTCTCCGAGCTCTCGATGAAGGCAGCTTTCTGCAAGAATAACGTGAGCTGACCGGCCTAGAGCTTTCCGATCAGCGGCCATGTCCACATTTAACGGCCTCGTAGCCGAATTCCCGGACATCAGAAGTGAGCTCTTCCCTCATCCTCTGCTCATCATCCTCGCGATGGCGAACATGCCGTTAATTAGCCTCTGCAGTCGACCACTTCCGCTCCCACTCACACCTTCGGCCACCGCTGGCATGCTTCCTCAGTCACGTCCACAGCGACCATCTGGCCGGGCTCGAGACCCTCCGGTCACCGTTGTGAGTTTCCCAGAGGACAGCTCCCGCCAACTTCGTTTTCGGTCCCTCAGTGCTGATCCGCCAACCGCAAAGTGTCTACTGCTCAGCCGCGACACGTGCGATACTACTCCGGCTCGAGAGATATCCTTGCCGCATTAATTATGCGCTGGGAATCCTCGAGACCCGGCAGCAGACGTACAAGCATCTCCACAAAGTCCTGGTAAGGCCAACACTACCTGCCGTTTCTGACAGTGCGCTCAATTGGGAATCTTCTAACTAACTCGGCCGATGTTCTAGAAACCCTTGCCACTAGACACTCCAACATGCATCGAGCTCCAGCCCGGACATCAAATCCAAGTGACGCTATTGGACGCAAACCATTGTCCTGGGTCGGTGATGTTCCGTATGTGATTCTGCCGAGGCTTTAACCGCCGGCCTGACTAATTTTCGTCCGATAACATGTAGTAATTGAAGGCGATGGAAGAGCAATATTGTATACTGGAGATATCCGAAGTGAGCCATGGTTCGTCAATTCGGTTCAGCGGAATCCCGCCATCCTCGAGTATACTCTCGGCTCCAAGACTCTTGACAAGATATATCTTGACACGTCATTTATCGACGACGTCCGGTTCCCTACCAAGGCCGAGGGCATCGTGGAGCTCCTTGAAAAGGTCTCACGCTACCCAGATGATACCACGTTCCATTTCCAAGCATGGACCTACGGCTATGAAGATGTATGGGTTGCCTTGGCGAAAAGCCTGAAAACTGCGGTATGGCTAGAGACTCCTGCTTTCTCGCGGCGCAGCTTCACTAATTGTCACTACAGATCCATGTAGATGATTACAAGATGAGAATATACAAGTCGTTAAAGGCCAATGGCCCAGAGAAATCGCCAAATGCCTTCTCTCACTTGTCACCAGAAGCACCAGCATTAGTTGGTCACATGTGTGGGAACTCGCCACATCCCGGCTGCCTCGCCTCTGCTGAGAATGTCCGAGTCCACAGTTGCGAGAAGGGAAACATGTGCTCCACGGCGAAGGCACCTTCTGTCGTCAAAATTCAACCCATCATCGCTCGCATGCCGACCGGTGCTGAATTGATTGAGGCCGGGATCGGTGGTGGGGGTGAGGATTTGGAGCGTGAGAACGAGCTTGACGCCCTGTCTGCGGATGATTTGCGAAATTTGCAAGAGAAGTGAGCCAAATCTTTCCTCAAATAGTTCCCCCGCCTCTTAATACTGACCTTCTGTCTAGGATCCGCACCTTGTTCAACTTGAGTGAGATAGATGAAGACAAAATGGGAGACTTTCTAAGCAAAGTTGCCTTGAGTGGGCGTACTTTGACGCTCGATCTCCCAGCAACCACAGAGGAACAAACTTCTTTACTCACCATCGACAACGTCATCCAAGCAATCGCCAAGCAGTTATCACCTGCGACTACTGATGTGCCAAAGACGGGGGCAGATATGGACCAGAGAGCCGGAACCTCTCTACCCAGAGTTATTCGTTTTCCCTACTCTCGACATTCATCCTACAACGAACTTTGTCTTCTCGTGGCTGCTTTCAAACCACGGGATGTCTGGCCTTGCACCGTTAATATCGACGAATGGCTAAAAGACGGTAATCCAATCCATCTTACCAATAAATCTGCTCGCGAAAACTAACTTAGTAAATAGATGTGACAATCAGGTGTCTCTTCGGAGAGTACTGCTCCGGGACAACCTATGCTCATGATCTCAAGATGGATGTCTTGCGACAAGCCAGGCTGCCAGTAATGAATCACTCCAGCAATAAGAACTCGCAGGAGACAGATTACTCGCATCCAAGGACGGAATCACCACCAGCCTCTGTCAACCCGCGTCGCTCTGGAGCCCCACCACCGTCTTCGCCTGCATTTCGCAATGTTGAAAACTCAAGAACGAATTGCCCAGAATTGAAATATGCCACACCTAGTGTAGGGGATGATGTGTCTTCCACTTACTCAACCTCTACTCGTGGAACCTCTACTCGTGGTACACATGGCGTAAAGCGTCGATTTGAGGAATCTAACGAGGCCGGAACTACGGATGAGCCTGAAGACGGGCCAGACTCTCAACAGACCGACAAATCATTCGTATCTACCTTGAGCGTGGGTGCTTCTTCAATCCGGAAAGAGGCGTATTTTCGAATGCTCAAAGGCGAGGAATGGGATGGGGATGGTCTGATTTCAACTAACGGCGGACACACCATGATGGAGGAGGAGCTTGGTCATTAGTGATACCAATCTACAAAGGAGTTTTAGGGCTGTTAAAATACGGCAATGGTTATGGGCGGACAAGGGCAACGATGTCATGATATAATGTTTAATGCAATGTTTTCTTTGCAGGAATCCCATCCTTCTGATTTTACGTAGTTTTATAAATCAAATCCGAGGCCAGCCGCGTCTCCTCCCAAGAACACACCAAGCTGCGTGCCCTTTTCCCGCTCCTTGAGAAGAGCGGCCACATCCACTCTTCCGCCCGTGATATACCTCTCGCTCACGCCCAAGTTCACCCTCTGTGTAAGTTCATGCTTCAACTGAGCCCTCAGCGCCCCCATCTCCGCCTTGCTCATCTCCCGCGCCACCTTCTCCTTGCGCTTCCTCCCTCCTCCACGCCCACCCCGGCCCAACTCCTCGTCGTCTGAGTGATACTCAACGCCCAGCTCCTCAGCAGCGTTGCGCATGAACGAGTCATCACTGTTGCTCTTCTCTTTAGCCAGCGCCGCATCCGCCAAAGTCTTGGCCAGAGTCGTCCGGGGCTTCAGCCGAGACACGATCCTCCGGTCGATGGGCAGGGTCTGGATCAAATGGTCCTTCTTGCTCGAGGCCTGGGCGTGCACCTTGGCGGCGAGGCGGCGCGTGGGTATGACCTCGTCGGGGGAGCAGAGGAGGACGCTGACGCCGCTCCGCTCGCCTCTGGCGGTACGGCCGGACCGGTGGACGTAGGTGTCTGCGGCGCGGGGCACGTGGTAGTGCAGGACCATGTCGACCTCGCGGATGTCGAGACCGCGGGCGGCGACGTCGGTGGCGATGAGGACGGAGGCCTTTGTGGCGGCGGTGAATCGTTCGAGGGAGCGGAGCCGGGCCTTCTGGGCCATCTGGGAGTGGAGGGGGAGGGCGTTGACGGCGAGGTTGGTGAGGAAGGGGGTGATTCGGCGGACGGCGGATATGGAGTTTGTGAAGACTACGGTGCGCTGCTTGGGGTTGAGGAGCAGGACAGTGTAGAGGTAGAGATCCTGTATGATAGAGTTAGAAAGCTAACCTTTGAGCGAGGAATATATGTTGGGAATGGGAAACGTACCTTTTCCATTGCGCCGCATTCAATGAGACCCTCCTTGAGCCCCTCGGCCATCTGTCGTACGGGGTTGGCGTCGATGAACTTGGCTTCCCTCCGGAAGTTGAGGCGCTTCATCAGATAGGCCATCTTGTCTTCATCGCCCTTGTGTTTTCGACCAGTGCCAGCGAGCTTGGTCTGAAGATCCTTATCGAAGGTGGCGGAGAAGACCAAGGTCTGTCTGGGGGAGAGATCCTCTTCGTCGTCATCGCTCTCCTCCTCCTCCTCTGGATCCTTTCGATCCAGGGCTCCAAGGATATCTTCGGCTTCCTTGAATTGTCCAGCTTTTAGCAATCGATCAGCCTCATCGACGACAAGGAAGCTTATCTTCGTGAAAGACTCCTGGAGCTTGCCATCGCCCTCGAGGACCTCCCAGAGACGACCAGGTGTTCCGATAACAATATCGGCTTTGGCGAGCTGGCGCTGCTGCTTCTGGATGCTGAGGCCACCGGTGATGACACAGATGTATGGGGCAGAGGGGAGCCCATCGCATAGGGCCTTGAGATGGTCTCCAAGCTGCTTGGCCAATTCTCGCGTTGGACTCAGGACCAGCGCTATCGGGGTCTTTTGTTTCTTTCGTCCGTCCGCGTCGCTGTCTTCATCATCATCGTCATCGTCCGCGCTTTCGTTTTCGTCCGCATCGTCGTCGCTGCTTTCGTCTAGCTCGTCTTGTCGCTTCTCGTGCTCTTCTAACCACCGCTCCACGATGGGAATACCAAAAGCCAGCGTTTTTCCGGAACCTGTCTGGGCCTTTCCGATGACGTCCTCACCGGCCAGAATGTCAGGGATGGTCTTGGTCTGGATCAGGGTGGGCTTTGCAAATTTGAGCTTCGCAATGGCAGAGAGCATCTGGGGCGACAGGTTCAGCGCCGCCCAGGCAGCCATGTCGAGGCCTTCTTCTTCTTGGGCGTCGTCATCTGCCAGGGCCTGGAAGGCGTTACTTTGTGCAGAGGACTTTTTCGAGTTGTTCGGCGCCAGCTTGGCGTCTGCCAGCTGCTGCTTGCTTTGCTTCGGCTGCTTCTGCTTCTGCTTTTGCTTTTGTTTGTCCCCCTTGCCGTCATTACCAGGCCTCTCAGCCTCCAGCCCAGCCTCACGAGCCCCATCTTTGCCCTTGGGGAGATCCCGGCCCTCAACAGGGTCATCCCCAAACCCCTCAAACGACTCGCCCTCATCGTACTTCTTGGCCTCGCGGTGCTCGGGGTTCTGCTGGCTTTCAGAGACTAGGAACTGGACCTTGTTGCCTTGCTTGACAACCTCGACGCCCTCAATAACCTGGAGACCCCCAAACTCTTCCGTGTCGACGGCCTCCCACGCGAGGGCAGCAGCGTCGACAGTCTTGCGCTTCGATTTGGATGCGGCGGTGGAGGGCTTTGATCGCTTCGTGACGCGGTCGGTCGGGGTGGAATGAAGCTTGCGCTTCTTCAATTGCGGTCCCATTTGATTGGCTCGAGGGAATGAAATGGGAAGCTGTCCGATCTGTGGTAATGAAACTTCGCTTTGAGACAAGGGTCTAACAAGGCATGATGTGATTCTCGACCTTCACAATCAACTTTTTTTTTTTGGCGTCCGATTGCTTATCGCTCCACTTTTACGGCAGCTTGAGGGCGCTGGCAGATGGTTGTCAGAAAAGGCGGGGCAGCAAAGGCTACAGGCATACAACGTAGACAGCGGATAACAGTGGCATCCATGGGACTAATATTATGAGATGATCTTTTGTCCTCATATACAACAAGATTGACATTCTGAGCTACCTCCTATCTCTAAATATTATGGCATGTATTGGAAAAACCTCTGTGGTCTCTATTTTCCTGGTACCCACTTGGGCTTATCAGTTAGCGATATCGATAAGACACGACCCTGATAAACTTTGAGAGCTGCCCAGAAATACAATTCTGGGGTGGACAAATAAACTCTATTGACCGGTCTATATTGTATATCTACCGACTACAGCTTGCTTCGACCCTTGAACCCCCAAACATCGCCGCTCTTCAACCAGTCCCATACCATGTCATCGCCTTCAGAACCATTCCCGGCCCAGATGCCATAACCCTGAGTGAGATTCGGCCCAGGATCGTTGAGAGCACCCACCCGCCTCGTATGCTCCTTGCCAACTTCAAGGATTGTCCCTCCGACATTGTCATCCTGCTCCACACACGCCAGCATGGCCTCGGCCACCTCCTCGGGCGTCACCCAACCATCGTTCTTCTGGTCCAGGTTGACGAGCTTCTCTGGATGCTCGGTCCACAGCGGGGTCTTGACGATACCAGGCGCCACGGCGTTGACACGCACCCCGTACGCATCGTCCAGCGACGCCAGACACCGAACGAAGCCCGACACGGCGAACTTGGAGGCTCCGTAGAGCGGGGCGCGAAAGACGGGCAGCTGCCCTGCGACGGACGAGATGTGGACCACGCGTTTGGGGTTCTGAGGAGACGCCTTGGCCGTGTGTGCCTGTACCCGCGGTGCCTTTTCAGGGAACAGCCAGTACGAAAGCGCGATCTGCGTCGCTCGGATCGGGTGCGTCAGGTTGATGTCGAGCAGCGAGTAGTGGCTGCCCTCGACCGGGTCCTTGCTCTCGGCTGAGCCTGGGGGGTGCCAGAAGTTGGACCAGTGCGGCTCGTAGACGCCGGCGCCTGGGCAGACAATGTCGAAGGATCCGAATGCCGCCACTGTCTCGTCGAACATGCGATGGAGGTCGGGCCACTTGGTCACGTCCGTCTTGACGAAGATGGCACGGGGCTTTCTGGAGTCGGTGCCATTGTACTCGGCGATGAGGGCGTCTGCCTCGGGTCGTAGGCTGAGGTCGGCGATCGTGACATTGCATCCGCGGGAGAGAAGCAACTTGGCAAATGAGAAGTTGATTCCTGGTGAGGGTGGTCAATACACAACGTAGACGTAGATGGCCAGTAGTCGTTCGGTCACAATTGCCCCGACAGGGTACTGTAGGAGGTGTCATACCTGAGCCAGCTCCAGTGATGATAGCTGTCTTTCCAGAGACAGAAAATGATGCAGGCGCCATGGTTTCAGCAGAATAACACCTTGTGGTAAAGTGCCAGATTTGTTGATACCGCTGCAAAGGGACAAAGTGCAGACTGTCTCGGCCGTTATAGGAGGACTGCGGGGGAGAAGTCTATTGAGGTGGTCTTCCTCGGCCATTGCTGGACCGAAGCCGGCGATGCGCATCCAACCACACACTTGGTATGATTGTGAACGGTGGGCCATGATGCACAGAGCTGCAAGAGCAGGGAGCTAATGTGCTCTTCGACGGCTCATAATCCATAACTCGGTGGGTGCACGTCAAGTGACCAGCTCATGGGACCCCCAAATCTGCATACAACCCAAGCAGGGAGGAGATTCCCTTCATCCAACAACACCGACAATACGCCCTAGGCTACAGATTTGGTGTTGCTTTGATTTCTCTTTTCTTTTCTTTTCTTTTCTTTTCTTTTCTTTTCTTTTCTTTTCTTTTTCTGTCCTGATGCAGCCGATTTTGCTGTCAGCTAAGCACCGGCCCTTGGCGCGGGTCAAAAGTGCCGTGTAGCAACAGGCACAAGCGTGCGTGTGCTACTTAGGTAGCTTACAGAGTGAGCTCTCTACAGTGCAATGGTTTAGTTCAATTTTAATTACGTGCATAAGCGACAACTAGATAGGCTTTATTTCTTTCGCCACTGGCCCTTAATTAACACTGCCGTAGTATGTTACATACGATTCCTTTCTTGTTGTTTGTATTCGACAATCGCGACATCACTTTGGCTGGCGTATATAGGGTAGGCAAATTCAGAGTGCTTCCAGCCTATCCGCATCACCTTTGCCCTACCCAGGCATGCAGCAAGCTTCTTGTGTATAGGTATCTCTAGATGAAATTCTTCAAAACGGCCGTGAGATCAACCGAATTCCTTTATTTATCTACTATATTATGCTAAGTTACCGCGAATAAGATATTTCGGTGCTGAGTCGGCCTGTTTCAGTGATTCGAGCATCAAGAGGAAAGAACTGGGGCTGGTCATGTGACGCTGGCAAGGGTTCTCTTGATGGTGCTGGCATTGGTCAGCCCTGTCGTTGATTCTCACAGATCTCCAAAACCCAAACCCACGCGATCGTGGAGGGATGTGGGGTCAATTTCCCTAGGAAACTCCATGACGCTCATCCGAAACCTTTCCCTTCGCCGCTCCATCTCGATACGAATCGATAAAACGGCGGCAACGACCTCATCGGAGATAATCACTCGCCTTCCTACCGACGCCGCTGCCTGCCCCACGCGATGCACCTCAGGCACAATGCATCGCGCCGCCACTTTTCTTTTCAGCTTTCAGGGGTAATTTGCGGCTGAGGGGCATAACTTGAGCCGAAAATGCCCTCGCCAAGACGCCATATCTAGCGCGTGCCTGGACGGCCCCCCACTTGCGTCGAAAAACGATAGAGAATGGGCGCTGCTTCTCCAATGGCCGCGCTGGGTCAGGCCGGCGCTGAATTGGGCGCTGCACGGGGTGGGAGGTTGATGGGGAGGGTATGTGTGCGCGCGTCTCTGGGCCATCTCGCTTCTTGACTAGGTCTCCTGCAAGATTTGCGCCTCTGTCCTCTCCGTATAGGAACCGCCGTGTTCGTCCGTTCGACGTACCGACGTCTGGTCCGCCATGTTGCCGTCCCATGTGTCTTTAAGTAGGCTGTCGGTCCTGCTTTGCGTGCCTTTCCTCCCTCTCGGATTGGCCGCCGATGTGGTAGATGTGACGGATATTGGAATCTTCAGTCAACTGGTACGTTGACCACCTTGTCGTTGACCACTAAGCCTGTTGATCTAACCATCGCACGCAGGCTCCTTGTGCTGCCTCCGCCTTATCATGGGCAGTAAACCGCGAGTCCTCGGCCTCGAGCTGCTCTGGCGCGACTCAACTCCAATCATGTGTCTGCTCCAACTCCGCCATATCCAACAAGGTCCTGGCCAGCATGACAACCGACCTGACCTCGAGCTGCGGCGGCCCGGCGACCGATGATATCAACAGTGCGAAGCAAGTATACACCAAGTTCTGTAACCCCGACTCCACCATCACGTTCCCCTCGCCGACTACGAATATTGTCAACGCCTACATCACCGAGCTTTCGGAGATGCAATACATGGCGCCCTGCGCCCAGTCGGGTCTGTCAGCCGCCGTGATGGGACAGGTAGGCTTTATACCGCAAGTTATACCCAGGGTCTTTCGAGATGGAGGTCTGACAACACGTGGGAATAGATGTCAAGATGTCCAAAAGATGCAGATCGCTACGCTCCATGCGTTTGCAGTAAACCGCATGTCACTTCCAGTGTCAGTAACGCGTTAGTGAGCTCGATCAAGTATTATTGCTCCAACACCGAGGACCTCAGCTTCGCCCAGACTTTCTACCACGAATACTGCGCCATGAACAACGGCACGACATCGTTTGCGGTTCCCTCAGGGCCGCCCGGAGACAGTGAGCCACCCTGATATGCTGCAAACCAACTGGAACGCTAACAGAGAACAGTGACCTACTACATATCTGCTCTTCCTCAATTCCAGTCTCTTAGAGGCTGCGCACAGACAGCAGTTGGAAGCGCTTTCGAATATGTGCGTCTTCGCTGAATAGTCTGAAATGTTTGTGTGTATTGCTAACGATTGAACAGCAAACAATGTCCCTTTGCGCACCTGGCCCGCAAGCCTTGGCCTCATGTATCTGCATCAAGTCAGGCATGAAGAGCTTGGTCTCAAGTAGTTTGACGTCCTCCGTCAAGTACTACTGCAGCTCCACCGCCACGGCAGATGTGACATCGGCTCTCAGTGTTCTAGAGTATTATTGCAGCGCAGCCGAGAGCAAGGTCGTCGCCACCGTTGCTCAATCCGTCGCCGAGTCATATCCCACGGTCGAATCTCGCACCGGGCCGACTTCATCGAGCGCAACTCAAACGATTTCCAGTACCAGCGCCGTTGGAGGTGGAGACAATTCTGGGAATAAGAGCAGCGACAATAACTCGTCGACCCAGGTTGGCTCGAAAGTCTCGCAGACTGCCATCATCGCGGCTGGAGTGCTCGGGGCTGTCGTGGTTATTGGTGCGATAACCGCTTTGGGCTGGTTCATCCGTCGCAAGAAACTCAAGAAGGAGGCGGAGAAGGATAACAATTCGGGTTCCTCGCCCCCAGACCGACCTATTTACGAATATCATGGTACGCCAGAGCTCGGTGGAGACAACACTCATGGCCCGATGGGTGTCACTAAGCCGGGAGCCGTGGTCACGACGCGCCCCGAACTTGGAGGAGGACAGCAACAGCACTACTCAGAGTTGGCACCGCAACACCAGTACAAGTCCGAGCTTGGGGATAATGTGTCGGTCTACTCCTACGGCGCCGCGCAGGAACTAGCCAGCCCGGTAAATGGATACCAGCCTCCGCCGTTCAGTAATGGAAGACCAATACAGGAGCTGCCCGGCATGGGCTGGCAGTCTGGGCCGGTAGAGACGTATGAAATGGATGCCCAGCCTGCGCGACGGCACTGACGATGAACGAGGCAATGAAAAATTCACATGTATAAATTGAATCAATTTAAAAGATGTATATGCTCTGATGTGGTCCGCCTCGTGATGAATTTTCTTGTTCCCTTTCTACATTTTAAGAGCACCGGTGCCGTTCCTGAGAATAATTAATGCTTCCCTGGGAAGAAAAACACATCCAGATACTCGACTCCATGATGAGGAGCCTCTACCTACAGCTGCAACCGCTGCAATTGATACCAGTCATCCCTCGTAATGTGCGAGAGCTGTTGAGACTACCTAGGAGATCACCATGCGGATTCGGAGCTCCCAATTAGATCAGCGACAGGGCTACCCGGGCACTCGAACTCCGAAAACGAGAACTAATATTTGTTTATTCCCTTTATTAGTTTGTTGAAATTTGCAGAACGCCTTGCTAGGCAACATTGGGCGCAGCTTTGGCCAAGTAAACAGAAGCCAAAGCATTCCCGTACTAGATTGTTTGTTCTTGAGGTACGTAGGGTAAGGTAGGTACCGACCGATACTTAGCATGATGGGTTACCGTTAGGTGTAGATTTTTACTTGCACAATCTAATGTCGGTAGATGAGGCAGGGCACAAACTGGGGTGGTGAATTCACTGTCTATGGAGACGAGTCGAAGGAAACACGCAACAATTCCTCTTGTCATGGTGGTGATTGAAGATTGAGGCTTTGTCTTTGGTCACACCGCCCTGAGCTCTGCCCTTGATGGCAGAAATGTCCACCTAGAGTCCGGGATAATCTCAAATGTGAGAAGCAAAGTCATGAATATAACGCAGATAGAATCAAATATGATCTAGATCAAAACGGCAACAAGTTATAACATATATATCAGCAGCTAAGGTATCCATGGATGATACAATGAAGCTTCATTGTCAAATTGTCTAAGAGAGACCGGTATAGGGTACCTAGGCGCAGAGATGCTGGCCTGCGAGATGACTAAGGTTCTGGTTTCAATTGTGCAGCGATCATAATTTGAACTGAACACGGCCCGTGCACGCTTTGTGCACCGAATTGTGCGCGTTCAGATGGCCCGTGCACGGTTGGACTGTGCTCTCTGGCAGCCACGACCAACCAAATCACCCCAAGGCTTGCATTGTTTGGTGTTTGGCAGGCGCGAAGCAGCTTTATCCAAAGTCAGCTTCTTCTCGCTTTCTTCATTTCCATCCTCCACCTTCAATTTCAGCCCAACCTTCATTCCTTCACATCACCACCTAGGGCCGCCAGCAATTTGAATTTTGAGCATCTCGCTTTTCTTTTAGGCTGCACACTTCCTTCGCATCGCCTTGTTTTCCCCTGGCCGAGCCGAGTGATGACGAGATTCTAGACCAGTTGGGCTTGCTCAGGATGGCTGCTGCCGACGTGGACGTTGGCTACATTGCAGGCCACCTTGGCCTCGACGAGCCTGTTGTACAGAGTCTCGCCACCGAGCCAACTGTCGACCTTGTAACAGCATTACTGCAGGCGGTTGCGACCAAGGCGCATGAATTCGACGAGTTGTACGCCGCCAAGCTCCAGATTGACATTGAGCTCGAAAACACGGTCCGAGGTGCCGAGTCACGATCCCAGGGATATCAAGAATCGACCAACAAAGCACTCAAGGATTTGGAGGAGGCCCGCCAGAAGCTCAAGGAGGAGGGTAAGCTACCACCACCATACTGTTAATCGCAGATCATTTCGAACTGACCCAAATTTTGCGAGTAGAAACAACCCGACTTTCTCTCGAGAACGAGTTGCAATCCCTTAAGACCAAGGGAACCGGGCACGAAGCGGAGCTCAAGGCGCTAAACGACAAGATTGAGACGCTACAGTCATCAAACCGAACGAGTCTTAGCATCATCGAGTCGAATAACAAGCGTGACCAGGCCTTGTCCGAGGAGCTAACCAAGCAACATCAAAAGAACTCGGAACTGTCGCGTGAAATCACTTCTTTGCAGCAAGCTGAGCAGAATGCCAAGGGCCAACTCAGCAGCGCAAAATACCGTGAGGAGTCGCTTCAGCAGCAGCTTACTCTCGCCCGCAGGAACGCCGAATGGCTTGAGTCCGAGCTCAAGACGAAGAGCGAGGAGGGTCTCAAGTATAGAAAGGAAAAAGGAGCACGGATTGCCGAACTTCAGCGACAAAATGAGGACGCCAAAGCCGATATTGATTCCCTCAAGCGCGGAGAGCAGCAACTGCGTGACCGATTGAGCACCATGCAAGCAAAGGCTGACGAAGCACTTGTGAAGCTCCAGAAGCAGGAGGCCGCCTTCGCGACTACGGTCGAGAGCTACAAGCATGAACTCGGGGATCAAAGGCGGCTTGTTGACATGTCTGACCAGCTCAGCAAGAAGCATCAGCAGAGAGTGAGCGAACTGGAGAGCGAGAAGGATCGACTGAAAGACAACTACGAGAACGAGATTCACCGATTACGACTTGAACTCGAACAGGAGCGACAAGCCAGTTCCGAGCTCGAGGAAAAGATCTCCCAACTCGAGGCACAGATTGAGCAGCTTCAGACCCGACCTGAGTTTGCCCTGCCCCCTTCTCGACCACAAACCCCTCGACCAAACGGCGCAGCCTTCGGCCGTCCTTCGTCCCCCTTTGCCACACCTGGGTCCCTCCGCGGCAAGTCTGTTCTGAGTGCCACCCAGGCCATCGACCAAGCCCACCATTTCAAGGATGAGCTGGCCAAGGAAAGGCGCAAGAACAACAAGCTTCGTGAAGACATTGACGATATGATGGCCGCGCTCGAGGCCAAGGGTCCCGAATTCCAGGATCTCCAGTCCGAAAACGAGACGTTGCGAACCGAAATTACACGAATGTCGGAACTCTCTCAGCAAAGCTTTGAGGAGCGTGATAACGCCAAGAAGGCGGCTAGAAAGGCCGAGAATGCTTTGCAGACTGCCCAGTCTGAAGCTAAAATCTTGCGCATGCAAGTACGAGATCTGGGAACTCAGATCCAGATGCTTGTCTTCAACATCTACGCAATGGAGAAGGGCATGGATCAACTCTCTGAAGAGGAAAAGATTCGCCTGCAGCAGCTTTCCAGGGGTGAGATCACAGAAGAAGCCCTGTCCGATATGTCCGACACGCACCAGTTCATCACCGAAAGACTTGTCGTCTTCAAGGACATTCAATCTCTCCAGCAAAAGAACGAAGAGAATGCCGCCACCATTCGACAATTGGCCGAACAGATGGACAGCGACGAGGCTATCGCGGCAAAACGCCAGGCCAAGGAGGATCACGACAAGGTTCAGCGTTTGGAACAAGAGCTTTCTCACATGGCGGATGAAACAAACTCAATGAAGGCAGTCATAGAGAGCTGCAAGAGAGAGCGTGACATGTTCCGCCGCATTCTTCAACAGAGGGGAGCTGTCGCAGATGACTCGTCTATGCTTCGAGCTTCCTTCAGCGACAGCCAGCGCTTGCCGCTTTCCACCATCGAGCCGGGTGAGCAAGTCGATGCCTTGAACGAGGCTCTTCGAAAACTACAGTCCGAATTCGATGGCTACCGGAGCGCACAAGAGGGTGTGCGCACAGACTTCCGCACCAAGGTAGATAATTTGGCGTCGGAGAAGAACTCGCTTCAGACCGACAAGATTAAGCTGCAAGGCGAGGTCAAGCTCGAGTCGGAGAGGAGAGAGATGCTGCAAGGCAACTATGTCGCCCTCCAGACCCAAAACGTCGAGTTGCAGAAGCGTAGCCAAATCCTGTCCGAGGCGGCCGCAAAGCAAGATATTCGCACTCAGCAGGTTGCTGAGGAGCTCGTCGAGGCTAAGGGTCTCCTTGATAGCATGCGGAACGAGGCTGCCAATCTCAAGGCAGAGAAGAAATTGTGGAGCGACATTCAGGAAAGGTTGACAAAGGACAACGAGACCCTGATTGAAGAGAAAAATCGTCTCAACAATATCATCTCCACCCAGCAGTCTCTCGAGAATGAGCGCACCTTGGCCGAATCCGAGGCTCGCCGCAAAGCCCAAGCCCGAGTGGAGACTTTGGAACGAGAACTGGCCGACACGCACAGGAAGCTGACGCAAGAGGCAGAGGAGACGAAGAACCTTCAATTGAGGAAGGAATATGAGGGCAAGGAGGCCCAGAAGCGTATCGACGAGCTCATGGCAAGTCTGAGCCAGCTTCGCGAGGAGCATGTGGCCACCAAGACCAGCCGCGATCATCTCCAAGCTCGGGTAAATGAGCTGACGGTCGAGCTGCGCAATGCGGAGGAGCGAGTCGGCAGATTGCAGCCTCGTCCCACACCTCGACCAGGGTCGACAGCCGAGAACACGCAACAGCAGCAGGATTCGGCAGCTGAGATCGAAGAACTTAACAACGAGGTGTCCGATCTTAAGCGTGAGCTCGACCTGGCCGGGACCTACCTGGACAACGCAAAGGCTCAGGCAGAGCAATACAGAGAACTCAGCCAGAGCAACGAGGAGGCTTTGGAAGATCTTCGTTCTTCACAAGAACAATACCAGCAAGAAATGGAAGCTATTGTGGAGGAGAAGAACGCGAAGATCAAGGAATTACAGCAACGCATCGATGACGTTTCGTCCGAACTATCCCAGACCAACACGGAGCTCTCATCCTTGCGAGACGCCCAGGGAGAAGTTACCCGCCGATTCCAGGATGAGAAGGCCATTCTGGAGGAGGAGCTGAACCGTCTGAAGGAGGAAAGCTCTAGGCATGTGGAGGCTGCGCGATTCCACCAACAGGACTTGCGTGCCCAGGCTGAAATCGCTTCGAAGGCCCAGCAGGATTATGAGCAGGAACTTGTCAAGCATGCAGAGGCGGCAAAACTTGTTCAGCAATTGCGCACAGAATATAACGAGCTGAAGAGCGAATCTGCCACGCTGCGAGCTGAGGCTGAGTCCGCCAAGGTAGCACTGTCGCAGAGCGAGGGGTCATGGGAAGATCAGCGACAACGCTTGGAGCAAGAGATGCAGGAGCTGAAGGCCCGAAGAGAGGATGTTAATGCCCAGAACAAGCTCCTTCATCAGCAACTCGAGAGTCTAACCGCACAAGTGACGAGTCTTCAGCAAAGCCGATCATCGGAAGACAACGATGAGGCGATGTCGCCCGTTGCATTTGGTGACGTTAGCGAAGGACTGCGCGAGCTCAACAGCTATCTGAGACGTGAGAAGGAAATCCTCGAAGTCCAATACGATCTCAAGACGCAAGAGGCGAAGAGGCTCCAACAACAACTTGAGTATACCCAGACCCAGCTCGATGAAGCTAGGCTCAAGATGGACCAAGAGCGTACCCAGGCATCTCAAAATAACAGAGGGTCAATGTCGCATCACGACCTGATGGAGAAGCTCAATGAGCTCAACCTTTATCGCGAAAGTAGTATGATGCTTCGTAATGAGAACGCAAGGATGAAGGATGCTGTCGCGGAAAAGACTCAGTTGGTTGAGGAGATGGAGGCCAAGATCCAACCCCTGGAAGCTGAGATTGAGAGCCTCAAGGGTCAGCAGTCATTCTTGCAGGAGGAGATCAAACAAGTTCAAGAGGACCGCGATCGCTGGCAGAAGCGGACCGAGGGCATCCTCACCAAGTACGGCCGGGCAGACCCTGCTGAGCTGGAGGGTCTCAAGGAGAAGGTCGCTACTCTGGAGACGGAGAATCAGACCTTGAAGGAGGGCGAGCAGCCACTCAAGGACAAGGTTTCCGAGATTGAGGCATTGCTTGAGTCTGAGCGGGCAGCCTGGGCCAACACTCGAGCCAGGTTGGCAGAGCAATTCAAGGACCGATCGAAGAGACTCACAGGAGAGAAGAATGAAGCCAACCAGCGAGTTACTCAACTGCAGGAGCAGCTGGACAAGGCTACTGAGGAATTGGGCTTGGTTCGGACCCAAGTAGAGGAATTGAACGGCGAAAAATCCGGACTTGAACAGCAGTTGCAAGACCACGAGACACAGGTAGCCCAGTTGCAGCAGCAAGTCCAGGAGGCTCAAAATGCAGCAGCCCAGCAGCCTGCTACCGTCCCGACCCCGGTTCCGGCGGAAACCTCGGCAGCATCAGACGATGTTCGTCAAACCCAGCTCGAGCAGCAGCTCGCGGATGCACGCCAGGAGCTCGAGAGCGTTGGCGTTCAAAAACAGGAAACAGAACAGCAACTCGAGCTCCTTCGTTCCCAACTGCAATCAGCCATGGCCGAGCGCGACGACGCTGTACGTAGTCTCCAAGAGGCCGCTGCCTCCGCTCAAGTACCTGCAGCAGAGCCTGCCAACCAAGTCGACAACACAGGCGAAGCAACTACTGAACCTCTGCAGCCCAATGCTGAATCTGGTCTATCCGAGGCCGAGAAGAAACAGCTGGAGGACAAGATCACAGCAGCTGAGGCAAAGGCCGCAGAAAGTGAACAGAAGGCTGCAGACATTGAGGCCAGGATCAGTGGAATCGTCAAGGAACGCTCTGACCGCATGAAGGAGACGCTCAACAATCGACTCAGAGACACGAAAGCCAAGTTGGAGGAGGAGTTCAAGGGTAAGAGCGATGAGCTCAAACTCAAGTTTGAACAGGAGAAGCAGATTTGGCTGGCTGAAAACTCATCAACAGCTCAGCCAGGAGAGCAACCACCATCCACCCCGGCCAAGACGGAGCCTCCCGCTGGAGGTTTGCCAGCGACTCCCAATACCAACGGACCGGTTGATCTATCGCAGCTTGACGACGCGTCTGTGCGGAGCTTCTTAGCGTCCAATGCTACTGTTAAAAGCATCATCGCCGCGAACATCAAAAAGAAGGTCGAATCAGAGCAAGCCAAGACGGTTTCTGACTATGAGGCAAAGATAGTGTCAGCTCGGGAACAAGCGCAGCTCCTCGAGTCCAAGAAGTCTACTCTTCGAATCAACATGTTCGAAAACAAGCTCAGGCAAGCCAATGCAAAGATCGGCGTTGTCGAAACGGCAGCCAAGGAGACTCCACAGAAGCCTGTTGTTGAGGTCTGGGAAGTGGCTAAGACAACGATCCCGCCGCCAGCAACACCCGCAGCAGCAACACCTGGAGGCCGCCCAACGCCAGCTCGACAGGCATCTACTGCCGGTGCCGCAGGCGGGCCATCGACTCCAACATCCGCGAAGCCAGCTGCAGGCTTTGGGGCTCCAAGCCCAAGCACAGTCCCGACCTTGGCAGCACCTCTGCCTCCCAAACCAGCTGGTCAACAGACTCCCGCGGCAAAAGCGCCTGCACCTGCACCTGCTGCGAGCACACCGGGCCAAGTTAACCCCTTTGCTGTGCCTGCAGACTCGGCAGACAAGAACGCCCCGAATCCCTTTGCAGCTAAGCCGGCAGATCCTGCAACACCTGCTGCACAAGTTCAACAGCGTCCACCGTCTCAACAACAGGATAACAAATCGGGTCAGCAGGCCAACGCGCAACAAGGGCAGCAGGGCCGAACAGGTATTCCATTGCCGCGAGGCGGAGGCCGCGGACGAGGCACTTACGTCGCTCCAGGGCAGCGTAATGCCAGTGCAGGCGACAGCGGGCTACCACAGCCTGGTGGCGGCCGAGGAGGTCGGGGCGGCGCACGAGGGGGACGAGGAGGAATGAATCCAGGAGCGTCCGATTTCCAGCCGGGAAACAAGCGTCCGCGTGGGGATTCGGAAGTTGGAGGTGGTGCAAAGAGGCCCAGGGGCTCGCACTAAGAATTTACGTGATTTTGAATCGGGATTCGATTGGAACTTGTTATACCATCGCACAGCTTTACTATGCATCTTTTTTCTTTACTTTAATTCTCTTTGTACACAAACGACCAGACAAATGCAGTGGGGTTGGACGGGAGATGGAGGCGATCTACATGTTGAGGAATATCAAAAAAGGGCGTGAGAGTATGAATCTGGCTTGTACTATTTGCCTCAGAAACTAACTGTCTGTTAATCAAATTAAAGTTGAGGGTATCTAGGGCTATGATTGTTTTACGGACTGAGCTGGATAATACCACTAGTAGAATGGATGGATATCGATTATTAATGCATTGCAATCATCTTCTTGAACCTTGTGAGCTGTCGCGCGATTATTGCCCATCATGGACTTAACCAAATGAGCCTAATGCCACAACCTCGAGCAATGGGCGACGAACGAGCCTCAATGAGTAATCATGGCCCCAATGTGCGGCTTCTCGCGTCATTTCCACACTGCGGGTCGTCTCTCCCTGGCAGGATCTTGTCCAAATCGCCCGTCTGCAGTGTGGAAAGTTGGCCAGCCTCCGTCGAGGAGGGTGATGAAGCAGCGACCAGAGAGAAAGATACGGACGGTAGCCAGTTCGTGGTTTACAGGAGTGAGTATGGGCCAGACGCCCTTGGAGACGAGGGGCTTGTTCGTACCCTTGGAAGTGCCGCATTGCGACCGGCGCTTCTCGTTCGAGATCCAATCCGAGTGCTTGATGGCTGCGATGACGATGGAATCCAACAAGGATATGCCCGGTATTGCGAGATGGTCAGCCAGTCAACATCTACACACATTGTCCTCTACGAACGGCTACTGCTCAATCGCCCGGCAGAGGTAGCCAGGCTCTGCGACTGGTGGGGGATGCCCTTCCCAGAGAGCATGGCAAGGATGGATGATGGCACAGGAATCACTTTGGAGCAGGATGAAGGGAGATACCGCAATCGCTTGTCCAACGCGCGGAAGGACCAGGCTGAGGAAGCGATGGGGCGGCACTACCTGCGATTCTGGAAGGGCTCGGACTTTGTACGACTGCAGGCCCTGCTGTCGGAGAAGTCGTGGTTTGGGTTCGATCTGGACGACACTCTGCATGAGTTTCGCCGTGCTTCGAGTGCGGCGGTCGAGGCTGTGCTGAGAGCAATGTCAGACCACACCGGCGCTGATCTCTCGCTGCTGAAAGAGACGCATTCTCAGGTGCTCAAGGAGAAGACAGCCAATGCATTCTCCGACGGCAAGACGTCGTTCGATTATCGCAGGGAAAGATTCATGGCCGTTCTCTCGCGTCTCTCCCTGCCATCCGATGACGAGACGTTCCTCGCAAATCTGCTCCAGGTATACGAGACAACGCTGACCAGGTCATTTGAGCTCAAGGCGGGTGCCCTCCAGCTGTTTGAAACGCTGAAAAGGCTGGGCAAGAAGATTGTCGTCATCACTGAAGGGCCGCAGGATGCACAGGAGCGCACCGTCGAGGCACTGGGACTGGCCAAGCACGTTGATTTCCTCGCCACGACGAACCGCTTCCGGGTCAGCAAGACGGACGGGATGTTTGGGAAGGTGCTGGAGCATCTTGACATCTCGCCGGGGGACATGGTTTTCGTCGGGGATAACGAAGAGCGAGATGTCAAGATGGCTACGGCGGCGGGCATATTCTCCATCTATTTTGCTGAGGCTCTGGATGTTTCTCTCATGGCGGATGGGCCGCGTATAAACACACTGCGTAAGCTGCAACATCTGCTGGAGGGTGCTGGTGATACGGAGTGAAGGCTGGATTGGCCGACCCCGGACCATATGCAGAGAGGATGCGACCTCGCCCCCGCTCAAGGGAGCCGATGTACGGGTGCTTCTGCCTGCATGTGTGATGTAGGCGAGAACATGGGAGAGTAGGTCGAAGTGCCCGAGATATAGCGGAATGTGGGCAGCGGTGGATTGTGGTAGCAATCATGGGAGTCCATTTCATACTTGCCTGTAACACATCGTCCCATCGAAGAAAGTGTCCCACTGATTGTTGATTCACACTCGAGCATTTGTAATCATCCTTGAAGGCTGCCTTGTCATGAGTTCCCGAGGAGATGGAAACTGGCGAATCAGCCGTCGTCATCTGTCCTGCACGAGTGAACGTGATCTTCTCCTTTCCTTCCTTGGCCCCTCCATCTCATGCAGAAGATCAAAAATGGCAATGAAGAAACTCTGATAAGGTGGCCGGAAGGGTATTGATACCCGATCCCGCAGATATAAACCCCAATCTTGGCCCGTTCCGTTCTTCTCGCGCCCGCTAGCTGGCTCACTTGAGAGACAATACTACACAATGGGTGCCACAGACCGACTTAAAGGCAAAGTCTGCATCGTCACGGGCTCGTCCTCTGGTATAGGAAGGGCCATCTCGATCGCATACGCTCGTGAGGGAGGACTCCTCGTCTGCTCTGATCTCCAGCCCGAGGCTCGCGTGGACGTGTCGGCCGAGCGCGAGGCCAACACGGATTCCCTGATTGTGCAGAATGGGGGACGGGCCATATTCGTTCGTGCTGATGTGAGGAGCGCCGTCGATATGGAGGCGCTGGTTCGGAAGGCGGTGGAGGAGTACGGGAGGCTGGATGTGTAAGTGCCATCCATATTCTGTTCGATATCGAAATGGAGATGGGAAGCGTTTGCTGAATCTGCATCAGCTTCGTGAATAATGCCGGTGTGTCACTTGAGGCGGGGAGGCCACTTGTCAGGATCCACGAGACGTCTGAAGAGGTGTTTGATACTACCATGGCTGTTAATACCAAGAGCGTGTTCTTGGGATGCAAGTATGCGACGGCACAGATGCTCAAGCAGGATCTGCTGCCGTCGGGCGACAGAGGATGGATCGTCAATATGTGCTCGATATACGGCATCACGGGCGGCTACTGCATGCGTGAGTCTGTATTAGGACCATACAGATACAACGATTCTGACAGTACTTGAACAGCGGCTTATAATGCGTCAAAGGGAGCCGTGGCACTCTTGACGAAGCAGGTGGCGCTCGATTACGCTGCGTCGCGCATCCACTGCAGTGCCATCTGTCCCGGATGTAAGTATCTCACTCCTTCAAAGAGGCTGGTTTTGACGTATTTGTTTATTTCTAGATACCGATACTGCAATCTTTGTCAATACAGTCAAGTCTGCGAACAGGGAACGGCTCGAGGGCAATCATCCGTTAGGGATAGGGCAGCCAAGCGACATTGTAGGCGCCGCGCTGTTCCTTGTTAGCGACGAGGCCAGATGGGTGACGGGGACGCTGCTTAATGTGGATGGAGGATGGCTGGCCGGTAAGAAATAGGAATCATACTGGTCCCGGAGATTCAGCAGAGGGTGTTGAGGCTCTGCTCATTGGTCTTGTATGCGGCAGCTCGCCATTGACCAGCCTGCAGTGCCTGGAGAGGACGGGCATCAGTCGCTTGAAGAGTCGGCGTGTTTCAATTTCTCTTCTTCATTGACCTCTTTTATAGCAAATTGTACAGAAACAATGCGTTTGTCGGCTTGCGTTATTAATATATACATGGCCAAATCCATAATTATTTGCTCCCAACACCTGTCTTATCCTGATCGCCGGCGTCCTTGCCCGCGTGTATTCATTTCAAAACATCCTATATAAAGTCGTGTATGAGGGCGTGTCCATCCCGTGCCGCGTGGTATATACTTACATCCTCCCCAAGAAAGAGATTAACGATGCTTCGATACTCTATGACCACTTGCTATCAAGCTTCAGCTGCGTGTGCACCTTCTTGTCACTCCCCGCCTCCGCCCCATCCCCGACCTTCTTAGAAGACACGGAGATGGCAACCTGCTTCGTGATGCCGCCCAGGCCTTTGGGGTTGAGGCTGAGGTCGGAACTGCTGCGCTCGGCGGCGGGCATGACGCGGGTGGTGATGCCGCGGGACGTCGTGGTGGCCGTCCGGTTGCCCGAGCGCCAGGCGGAGCCGTCGCTGGTGTCGCCGAGCATGATGCTGCCGGGCTCCGGACCGTTCTTCTTGGACTGGGACGAGAGGAGCGAGCCGAGGAAGGGCTTGAGCTTGATCTTGAGCCAGCCCCAGATCATGGGGAGGCACGAGGTGACGACGGCGACGAAGGATTCTCGCACGGCCCAGGCTGAGCCTTCTCTCGGGCCGTCGATTGGGTTCTGATTTCGGATGTCGGTTAGCAGTGTTCTATACGTAGGAGATCCCTGTCTTCCTTTATGCTGGGAAACGGGGCGACGAACCTTAAGGATGAGGATGCCGCGTAGAAGACCGGCAGCCATGACGAACAGGGCTCCGGAGAAGACGACGACGAGCGTGAGTTTCTTGAAGGTGGGAAGCTGGGTTCCCCATAGCATAGGTACGGGGATGAGGATGAGGTAGGCGTCGGTAGTGATGTTGAGAATAACCGACAGAAGGATGTACACCTTGGACAGGGCAGGCTGGCAGAGGTCTGGTTGGAGGCGAGGATGGTCAGCAAAGTCCGCCGTGAAGCCTTTGATTTTGGTTATACCTACTTCCTGGGTCGGGGTAGATTTGCCAAAAGTGGCTGAAAGGCTGACAGCTCAGCAGGTAGCAGAGAATGACGACAAGGTATGTAATTCCGATGATTGCGTATCCTGTGAGGATTCGAACGCGGTAGCCGTGAACGCCATCCTATAAAGATGGCCCGTCAGTCCAGTACTTGATCAAGAATGTTTTGCTTGGGAAACACGCACCGTTAGACGCGAGTAGAAGGCGCACAGGGAGGCTTTAATTGTCCACAAGACTGATGCATACATGCACCAACCTGCGATCTGGACCTTTGACCCTGCTACTCTGTTGTTACCTGTTAGCAATGCTTCTTCTTCCATAGAGATCAATGCAATTCCAGGGCAAAACAAACCTCCAAGCCCACTCCTGGCTATCGGGAGAAAGAGCAGCACGCTCGGCATCGGTCATGCCACTGTTGGTCAATCCATTGAATTGCTGACTGACGGCGTGCGCGAGGACTGTCTCAGTGGTGTAGGGCACAATGGTGAGAAGCATGAAGTAGTCGTCCGCTGTGAGACCCGTGATGCCAACCTGACGGGTTCGAGTAAATGTGCGAAGGAGAATGACGGCGATACCGAGACTGAGGTAGCTGAAAGCCTCGGCTGAGAAGGAGGCCAAGGCGGCCTTCTCACTGTCGTCCATGGTTTACTCGAGGTGCCGATTCGCAGCAGGAGGTCGTCGGGAGGTGGGAAGGATTAGTGGGCGTGTTGTTTCTTTTTCTTGAGAGCTGGGGACCTGGCCCAGTTAAACATCCAAGTCCAGACGAACTGCTCGGGGGCGAGAGCTGTCTGACGCCTGGGGATCGGATATCCCTTTTCGTCAGCCACGAGGAGTAAGGGTCGCTGATGGATACCACCAAGTGCTGATGGCTTCCTTTTAGCGTCTAGATAGAGAAACTGAGGAAGAAAGAAAGAAACGGCTCGCAGAAAAGCAGAGAAGGCAATGGCGGGAGCGTCTCCCTGGCTCCAGGAACCCTGGCCGTCGAGCAACTGCAGGAGACTGCCCTCTACACGCTACTTACCGACGCCAATGCTCCTCGACGGGGGAACCAGGATGCGCGCGCATCTTGGAAACAAAGAGAACCCACTTGCTGGTCCCATCTGCTAGTTCTGAGCGAGTGGCAAGGAGCAAACAACGGCCAGTGGGATGAACAGTGGGATGGGGTCATTACACACGAGAGGCTGCCAGATCAGCCCAAGGCACGTTGGAGCCCGCCTCTGCTCTGCGCCTTTTTACTCGAAGCATTGACCGTGGTCACAGATCCGCGGGTTGGGATGCCTGGTCCTGTCAATGCCCTCTGCAGGCGAGGTGCCATTTTCCCCATCTGCATGAATGGCCTACGTATTAACCGTCTCCAAACCCCAGTGATTTTCCGGGGACTGGAGAAAGGAACAGGAGAAAAAAGAAAAAAGAGCGCACCGAGATCTGGCGTCCAAGAAGCAATACCGAACACCAAATCTATCTGAAGCCTTAGCCGCATCTCTCTCTGCCCACGCGACCAGGATTTCCAAGACATTGCCGAAGATTGCCGGCCGCCCGGCCTCTCACGCTACATGACGCTGACTGCCACAGGTTGAGAGGGCGCGGCGAGTCAAAACGCCCGTTTTGATGGCTGGCACGGGTTCCACGTGTGGTTGAGCTACCCATTTAGCTCATGAATCATCGCACCAGGCCGCAAGGCTAGATGCCAAGAAGCAAGGGTAGCCTTGTCCGATCTGTAGAGCTCGAGTCAGGTTGCGGCAAAGCTCTTGTTTACTCTGATGCGAGACGGCGGGCACCACTGGACGCCTGCATCGGTCGGATGGTGAAGAAGCCAATGGACTTTTTTTATGTAGGAGACTTGCACCTTCGTCTCGAAAGCAAATCTTCTAGTCTGCCATGGCCAATACTTCAGCCCAACAAGCGGGCCGAAGAGAAACTGACCGAGAAGCGAACCCGGTGCCTCTGTCGATCATAAGAGTGGCATCGGATATAAGCCCTGGCCACCCACTCAGACCCCGTTGCGCGACAGGGTAAACAGGGGTTGCATGATTCAACAAAGGGGATCTCGGTGGACCGCCTGGCCTGTGTGGTAGTGCAATATGGGACGCGTGCCACGTTTTTGCCCTGCCGCTGTTTCGACGGTGCGGCCCCCCTATCATCTCATCCAGTGATCAAATGAGCAGTCCCATCGCCCGTCGCTATACTAGACCCTCGAGTCGACGGGCTAGCGAGACTATTCCCCGGCTAGCTCGAGCCTTGCTGAATGAT